GAGAAGTAAAGATAGGACCAGATTTTCCTTGAGCAATTTAATCATATTATTGTTATTTGGTTGAGAGAGAGAGAGAGAGAGAGACGTTCTCCCGTCTCACCTCACAAATCGACAGACACGTGGTCTTGCCTCGCCTTATAAGGAAGCACCTTGAGCGTGATAGTTTGCTTGTCCTCCAGCATCTGATAGACGTCATCAAGGGACATGCCGCGCAGCGTTCGGCCGTCAGCTCTCAGTATCTCATCTCCCACCTCCAGAAGTCCGCTGAGTAGCTTACCATGCTCCGGCAGAAATCGCGACACGAATATGCCTGTCGAGACACCGGAATCGGTGTAATTAAGCCATTATGGCATGCTCCGGCAGAAGTCATGACACGAATATATCCATCGAGAGACCGAAGTGGGAGTTTGGAATCAAGGCACACATACTATAAGTTATAACATCCATGAGGTGTAATAATAGCATTCAAGACATAAATAGTAATTAGTTTGTTGGACAGGAATTCGGTAATCGTTTACCATGCCATGCATCAAAATAAGAATAATGTTAAAAAATTCCCAAACGATTGTTTCAGTCAAATCTTATGTCAAAGACACGAGCGACACGATGCGGAGTGAGTTACCTATGCCGTCCTCGGTGTTTGCCTGTGCGACGTAAAATCCGTACGGTCCCGTGAAGGGTCGCGTAAGCTCGACATATTGCGTGCCGTCGGGATTTATAGCTACCAAGCTGCCTACGACCCTGCCTGGACTCATCATCATAATGTGGTCACCATGCTTGTAGTGGTGCTTGCTGAGCATCGACTTTCTGTTGGCGAACGAAGACAGAAGATTAGTGTTCCAGATCACTGGAAGTATGCTTGCGTTATTGTTCATTTTTGAAGATAAAAGTTTTGCATGTCAAACTGGCTACATAAAACAATAACATGGTATCATACACGTGATCATATACTATTACTTAGCAGTTCATCTTTGCTCAATTATGAGAATCAACAAGAAATGTAAATACACTTCTCACTAGATGGCAGCACATACCTTTCAGTTGGCTTTGGTGCATCGTGTAGAACGCCATCGTCGAGATACAGACTCGACCGATCTCGCTGCGTCTTTTTTCTCTTGTAGAATAAATCTTTGACAAATGACATCTTCAACCCCTGCAAAGACATTTTTGATTAATGCTAGATGTTCGGATATACAGTGTAAATAAATTACATGTAACAGGTTAGGTGCTGTTAATAATAAATCACTTACAGTGTGGATTAATTTAGGTAGCAAGAGCGACGAGCTTTGATTAGCGATCGTTTCTATACCTTTGCCTGTTTCGCCTTGTCACTAATGCTTGTGCGAAAGGAGTGTGACACAGACCGCTCCTGTTGCAGTCCATTGCTAATACTGAAACATTTAAGAACACTTAACTGCATTTTTTTTTTTGCATTAAGCAGTGAAATATCAGATGAGCTTAGTTAACGTCGTGCTCAGTCTTCTTGGTCAGTGGCAGCAAAATAACATGCTTGTCAATAATAGTTAATACCACTAAATACATCGCAGTGTTACTAAACTGTGCCTTAGGTAAACATGAGTATTATGAAATATTGCTATCAAATCAATACCAATGTATACTTACATTACTACATAAAAATGCAAACGATCGTGTCAGCAGATTTATTTAGCAAAGTGTGATTACTACTGACATACCTGTGGGAAGTAACTGTGCTGTCGTGCGACCTTGCAGTGCCCTCCACGTTCTGTCTCTCGGGTAAGGGTGGGGGCTGCTCGCGAGGAAGGGAGGGCGCCACGTCCGTCAACCTTCGCACGTCTGCTCCTCCGTTAGCAGCTACAGGAGCTGGTGTCGAGGATGGAGACGTGTTGCCGGTGCTCACTGGCTTCCGAGGCGTCTTCTTGCTTCGGTCTACCATGGCGTAGACCGGTTCTGAACGCACTTTCTGACCTTCAAACATGGGCAAAGGTAAAGCACCACCTATTCACCAACCAATTGACAATACTGCATAGGATCCTTATATATAACAGGGTTAATTTTTACTCAACCGTGAAGATTGGAAACGTACGATGGCAATATGAAAATTATAAAAACATATATGACAATAGAAACAACTATGGTGCTATGGACTGCATTCACACAGTGCCTCATATTCAAATAAATTCTTTATGCGGG